GCAGGACCTGCGCCTGGACGATCTGCTGACATTTTTGCCGGTCAAGCCGCGCCGGTCCCTGCCCTGCAGTCTGGAAGATGGAGGTGGTCTTCCCTCTCAACCGGATTGGAGTGCCCCCGACCGCATGGCTGGGGATTCATTAGGGACACTGCGCAAAGACTGGCTATCATTGGTTCTGTGTAAGCAACTCCACAAGAAGTTTGTGGCGCATTTTGCATCAGGCACTCCTTCTCAACCATTTTGCGAGGAGGAGCTCCAGCCATTTCGTGAGAGTTTGAACAGTTTCTTGCATCAACAGCATTGTGCTGTCGATTGGTCCATTCGGGAACATCAGCCTTTTGCTTTGAAGATTTTGTCCGCCTTGAGCCATATTCAACACGATCCTGATGTACACCTTTTTTCCTCCCTGGAACGCGGGGTGTCTACTGGCTTTCAAGGGGATATTCCTCCATCCAACTGTTTTCCGGTCCGACAGCATTCCTCGAGATTTGATGACACTACCCCTTTGTCAGCACACATGCAGAATTGGACTTCTGCGGAATCGGACCTGGAATTGACCAGAGAACTGGTTCAAAAAGAGGTGGACGAAGGTTGGGTCTTTGCTTTTGATGGTACTTTGGCTGACGCCCAACAGCAATTTCCTGTTGGAGTGTCAATTGGTAAATTGGGCATTGCCACTAGCCCTGGCCGGGCACCTCGTTTGGTTGTGGACAACTCAGTCAGTGGTCTCAATGCCCGTTGCTGGATTCCGGAACAATCCACTTTACCGTCAGCGAAAGATGTTATCCGTTGCTGGCCCCTTCGGGAGCTTCGATCTCATTTACTGGGTTTCAGCTTGGACATCAAAGCAGCTCACAAACGCATTGTCCTCCACCAATCGGAATGGGGTCTTGTAGGCTTCAGCTTGGACGGCAGGCTGTATTTCTACCGAGTGACCCCGTTTGGGGCCTCCTTCTCAGCAATGTGGTGGGCTCGGGTTGGCGCCTTTTTTCTGCGTACTTTTCACAGACTCATTTGGTTCAGTCATGTGGGAATGTTGTATGTGGACGATTTCATCTTCTACCAGGACGCCACCATGATGCCCCTCACGGCCTGTCTCATTTGCATATTGTGTCAACTGACTCAGGTTCCGATCTCCTGGGCAAAATGTGAACTGTCACGCACCATCAAATGGATTGGATGGATTTTTCATTTGAACGCAGGATTCATTGAAATCCCACCGGACAAGCTAGGCCGGATACAAGATTTCTTGCGGGAGTTGCAGAAACACTCCAATGCTTCACGGCGGCTTCTGGAGAAATTTATTGGTTTAGCCATGTGGATTACCCAATTGTTTCCTTACATGAGAATTTGGCTTCATCATCTTTATAAAGATCTGTACAGCATTCCTGGAACTCTTTTCAGCGTCGACCCCTCAGTGTGGTCCTCCGTTGCGGGTTGTCTCCGATCGGACTTGACCTTTCACACGACTCCACTGCACACAGCCATTCCGGTGGATGGCAAGCTTATCTCGGTTCGCCACCAACAAGTACAGTGTCTAGATAACCTCACAAACCTCAAGCTGTCGGAGCGCAGAATCTGGTTGCGGATTCGTGACCCCACATCACAGAAACGGAAACTTTCGTCCGCATCCAAGCGAGTCTTGAACATGTTTTCAGTTTGGCTGTCAGCGCTTCCACCTCTCCGACCACTTCGACCCAAACAATACTGGCCAGGACAGGCCGCCGCTGATGCGTGTGCCTCGGGACAGACGTGTCAAATTGGGGGCTTCGTGTCACATCCCAATGGTCAGGTGGCCTGGTTCTCAGAAGAGTATTGGCATTCTGACTTTGAAGCTCTGGGTCTTTCTTTGAATCCGGAAATGCAGCGAAGTATCAGTTCTTTTGAGGCATTAGCGCAACTCGCACTTTTGATTGTCATTGCCAAAACCAACCCTTCGTTTCGCATTCCGATTTGCCTGAGATCCTTGAGTGACAACACAGGTGCCGAAGCAGGCAGTAACAAGATGTTCTGCGCGAGTGAACCGCTGTGCTTTTTCCTAGAAAAACTGTGCCTTTTTGCAGCCCTCACACGTATGGAAATGGATGTTACACATATTCCTGGACATGCTAACGTCCACGCAGACGCACTTAGTAGATGGAATGGACAACAAGATCCTCCTCTTCAATTTCACCTTCAAGATCGCATTGCGCTTCCTCTGAGAGAGCTTTGGACATCGCCTCGTAGTGTTTCACTACATCCTCCACACACATTTTTGTTGTGGAGGCTTCCTTCTTAGCTACTTGCCGGAATTCTTCCTCACTTTATTTCGGGGTCCTTGGGGGCGAGTTCAGAATTCCCCCTGATAGTAAATGGGGGTCTAGGATCCATCAGTGGAATTCTTTGACCAACCAGGCAAAA